GGGGCTACTGTGTTTCATTTGCCTCTTTGCTCAGCGATGTATTTTTCACTGCATGAGAACATGATGTGTGGCGTGAGAGCGGCATGGCTTGTCGGACGTAGCAACAGAAATGGGGGGTGGGTCTTTGCGAAGGGTCAAGGAAAAAAGTCTGAATTCTGAGTTTATATCTCACAATTCTGAGTAAAGTCTGAATTAACTTTTTTTAAATTTTTTATAAACCTGTGGTAGAAACAGGAAGCTTATCGTTTTTGCTAACATTGCTCAAAGGTATTTACTGTAAACGTGATCCCATATATGTGTACTATTTTTAACAATCCAACAATTTAAGGGAAGTTCTGAAATGATATTGACCCCAATCCCTGTTTAAATGCAAGGTTGTGCCTTAACTGAGTTTATCTGCTTGAATAACATACTAGTAGGCTGTCTGCTCCTTAGATAGGCAGCTGCCTTCTAACTCATAAATGGAATCTCATGCGTAACTGATTGAATACAGTCTACATAGACAGCAGCTCTTTATCAGTAAAAGTGCGGTCAGATTAGAGAAATTTTGTGGGCAATAAAAGGCCAATTTTCAATAGTGTAGCAATGTTTGAAGCACAGCTCACTCTGAAGTCACTTTCAAATCAAGCAACTTTCTGTTGTTCAACGTGCAGAATGCATCCGACTAACTTGAACCAGTTGCGAAATCTGTGGGAAAATCTTTTGCCCTCACGCGAAAGTTCCAGTCGTGTGGATTCCTATTGAAATGACTGGATTTTGCCCACCAATATTTGCATAACAATGATAAATGTGACCAAACTTTAATGCGTGCGATGCTGAGTTTAGGTTTTAGTACGGAGTTCGTATTTATTACAGGTACTTTAGTATTTAGTTCTGAATTTTGAATTATGGTTTCTAAATCACATGATATTGGTACTCAAACGGAAACCTGAAATACTGTATAATAGTAAATAATAGGAGAATGTCTGAAAAGTTGTGCTTTTTGCTAGGGCTGCACGATAAATCGCATGCGATATTTAATCAATGTGAAAGCCCGCAGGTGATGGAGATTTACCGCTGATTACAGAACCGGCTTTACTGATAAGATGCGCGTTAAATATCGCATGCGATTTATCGTGCAGCCCTACTTTTTGCCTAATAACCTGTTTGTAAGTGTATGGTTGATGCAAGAAAGACCATCAGCCTGTTCAAAACCAATCAAGCGCACAGGATCTCAGTCGAAGCGTCTCACAATGGCCATTTGATCAGTTTTACATTGCTTTCTCTGCGTATTTTTATTGTCTTTACTGTTTTTGATACTATGTATTTAGAATACATGTACAGTTTGGTTTATCGTTGTCGTCCATGACTTCAAGTGTGCTCTGTATTTTGAATAACTTCTTGATATTTGTCTTTGGTAATGACTGAAAATTCAGAATAGCTAGAATTTTGCCTTGAAAAGAAAGGTATTTAACCAATTTTCTATCTAACTTGCGTATTAAAGTAGAGATTTTAAATTTTATTTAATGTTTAGCATTATTTGAAATCTGGTCACAGTTCATGTTGCAGCATAGAAACTACCAAGTGTTTTTTTTAATTTATTTTTTTAGCTGAACTGTGTAATCTTTTCGGAAACCTGTATGAAAACAGTCATTATTTTTACAATTACGCTTGGTTACATTAAATTTGAACCAGTTACTGTTCAACAGCTGTTTAAATTTAAACACTACTTGAAACTAGATAGTCACCACATACATTGAGGAAAGTGCTACCCAAAATCTTTTTTCTTCTTCTTTCCCGTTTACAAATGCTCTTGTTATTGATGTGCATTTTCGTTGTAAAGTTCTATGATATATTTTGTGACGCTGGGAATTCTTTTACAGATGCATGAGCGCACAAAGAAATACGATGTCAACTTTTATGACCATGGTACCATTCACATGTTTTTACTTCGTACTATTGTGACATTCTTCATTTTCCGTCTGTTTTGCTGTTGAAAATTGAGTAACGAGCTGCTGTAGCTGAATCACTGGACTCTCCAAACTGTGCTTCTGAATGTTCAACACAGCGCAACATGCTTTTGTTACACAAAAAGTGTGTATAGCGGATTGTATTGAATATAATGATAGACACCAATCATGCTTCATTTTCTTGAATGTTTCCTGGTACGTACATATGGAATCACCAGGCGATCAGTTCAGTTTGTAAGTTGAAGTGCTTTTGAGTGAATGAAACTGGATGAACTCCGCCGCGTGCTCGGTGCAGTTTTATTGTTTTCAAGCACAAATTAGGTCGGCCTGATGTGTTATTACAGGAACTACTGGTACCACTGTATGCACTGTGAACTGAAATAAATTATAAATGTCCATTCAACTCACCCGTGTTGATTCACTGAATTTTCACTTCAGCTTAAAGTATAAATCATTATTAAAATACAATAATCAGGTGATCAGTGAAACTATTGTTTTTAATATCGACACACATCATTTACACAATTTTCTTTACCGAACAATAGCATCAAATTATAACAAATCCATGTTTGCGTTTCTATGCTATCAGTTCATTAAGTGTTGATGTTGATCAAAATCAAATGTACTTGACAAATTCAAGTCTTTTTATTACAGAACTAAAGTGACAACACTTGAAGAAAAACAATCCTGAGACTCTTGCACACTTACGAGAAACTTTTACGCATGTGCACAGTAAAACTAAATATACAGAAATCGGAAATACTCGTGAAATGCCCCAAAAGCGTGCGAAACATTTTTTTTTTTTTTCCCTGCAAATGTTACTTTTATAACCATAAATATAAGACCTTGACAAGTCCTGACCAGTGGCGGCTCGTCGGGGGAGGCAGGGGAGACACAGCCTCCCCATAATTTTAAGGTGAAAATGGGAGGAGGACGATTTAATGTTAATAAAATTCACAATTCATTTCAGTTCATGTCTCAGAATGTGTATTTTTTGTTTGTAATTTCACAGTTGTAATACCATAACGTGAAAGCGTCGCTTTTCTATCGCGAATGTGCCGAATCTGCTGATGTAATTACAAACGCTAATGATAGAGTTTATCTCTGCAGTTTATTTTTCTATCTGACTAATGAGTTTATGGTCACCGAATATGTTTTTTCTGAGGTAAATGTGACGTT